AAACTTTTAAATAAAAATTCTATTTGCGAGGACTAGTTTATTTACGAGATTAATCGATATTTTAAGTGAACAAAGGTAGAAATTGTGACATATTACTTAACGATTACATATTGCGAGAAAGTATGTGCTGTTGTAGCGCCTCTAGTTTATATATTACATATGAGTACACCCGATTTAGTGGATTTTTTCAGAAGTTCCTTGAAAATTCAAGTTTTTATGAAAATGGGCTCATTGCTCTTTTTGCTCAAAACATTTTCTTCACTGCTCCAAATTTTTCTCTGAAAATGTTGACTTTGTTTTTGCTCTTCTATTATATGCGTAAAGTCGCGTTTAAATTCTATTATGGAACCGATCCATTTTTGAAATGTGTATGCCAAATATGACAGCTGGGGAGAGGGTGGGGCAAAACGGAAATCCTCGCCCAAGCTAGAGATAAGGAAACAAGATAGTCTGTTGCACCGCTAGTGTTTCAGAGAGCGCGAAGTGGTAACAAAATAGAACTCGTACAAAAACAACGTAGTTCGTTACATTAAATTCTCGAAAATTGCAGAAGTTATAACTCTTTCTTCTTCTTCTTCTTATTCTTATTCTTCTTCTTCTTCTTCTTCTTACAATTACACTACAATATTAAAGATGGGTTCTTCTTTGTACTTTTTTTTTATTATTTTTCAAAGTGAGATCTTTAAAAGTTCGGGGCGCGTCAATTACAATGGTCATTTGTCCCGTAAGTGTATCATTCTTCGTATTAGAGCCTTGTAGAACATTTGATCCTCTGCCATCTGTACGTTGGCTAGCGGGAATTTTCCCCTACAGTGGTCACCACTAGCTCTTCACAGCCCCCCAGCTTCCGTCATACGATAGCGTAGTCCGTAAGGGTGAAGAGGAAGAGGATGAAGGAAAGATCGCGCGCGGTCCGTGGCCCATTAGTTCTGCTTCCGAATATGCTTGAAATTGACCCGAGAAACCACGGCACACTACAGATCAGAGCAGTCGACTGCATGAATTCTCCGGAATCCGATCTTACATAGTCTCGAAAATCCGTCATCGTCAGGACACGAATCCTAAGGATTCTCTGGCGAAGTGGTTGGTGGCATGTTGTCCTGAGCTGTCTGCATCTTTTTTGGACCTGTGATGTCTTAGAGTGGTGATTTATTAGTATCCTGGCGATAGTTTCACAGCGATCTTTCCGTCCTCATCCTGGTCCCCCTCCTCTCTTATTATACAATTACACTACCACGCATGTCGAGAACTTAGTGCCAATTCCAACTGGAGAGATCCCCATCTAGAGAAGATCCGAAGGGGGAAGGAAAGGAAGGTGACGTTTAAGTTTGCGCGGCATCATTTCCAGTGGAGTAGGAACACCGGTACCTCGCAACTATAACGTTCACTACTCTCACGGGACTATAATTCAAAGTAGTAGACGCGCCCGGAAACTCGAAATATTCGCTGACCCCTGGCGATAGACCGCAGGGATGTCTCCCTCGCGCTTTTCAACTGTTTATTGCTGCGAACGTTTCCCATTTTTTCTAAAATAATACACTTAGATGTTTCAATGCACAACGAAGTATTAAGTGTCAGAATGCCATGAGTCGTGAAAATAGGCGTTGAAGAGAACATTGGATTTGATCCAGTGAACCTTACTGTACGCGTTCTTTTGCCTTCGTAGTTCGGGATACGTTCAATTTACGGTACTATGATGTCAACCATGGGAATTCAATTTCAATAGTGTTTATAATTTCAAGCACGAGACGCAAAAAACAAGCATCGCTAGGAGAAAAATTTAAACTTAAAACATCAATCGACTAGGCTTTTGATGTGTGGCGAATAAAAGTACTGGTCTAGGCGTCAATGAATATCTAGAAACCAAAGATAATGTACGATAAATAGGTCACCGCCACATAACCCGAAGGAGAGTCTAGCAGGTGGATTTGTTTGGAATTCGAAGAGCAATGTTACCATGGGAACGTTGGCCTATATACCGGGTAGTATGGAAAACAATCAATTCCCCAACGTGCGAGCAAGACTGGTAAGGCGTATAGCATGATCGCGCGGGCAGCCTATCAGAAAGTAGAAAATCTGTGAGACAGCCAATGGGAACGGCGTCGGGGCTGTTTCGAACGGGGGGCGTCGGGCGGGGGAGCGGCGCGCGTGGCCGGGCGCGCGCCAGCCGTCGCCGCCACTCTGCAGGTGTGTGGCAGGCCACGCGTGTCGCCCTTCCTCCTCTTCCGCTCCCGCACCCGCACCCGTCCACGTCCTCCACGCCGACGCAGACCCTGCCGTCGCCGACCCCGCCGCCACTGCCCGACGCCGCCTGCCTGCGCGTGATAGTTGGGGCGCGAGCTCCGTCATGGGCCGGCGGCTTTCGACGTCCGCCCGCCTCCCGCCAGGTAAGGGTCGGGCGGCCAGCGCGACGCCCCTACGCGCAACGACCGGCGCGTGCGTTTGGGGCTTCCCCGCGGTGCTGCGTGCGTCACCCGCCGCGGCACGCGTTCGACCCCTCAGGCTGGCTTGGGGGTTCGCTGTTTGACGGAGCATCCTTCGACTCTGGTTTTGCTCGGCGTTTCCACTTGTGCTAGACTCGCAATTGCGTTGCTTTCGTTTAGTATGACTTTCGTTAGAGCACGATTTCGGGGCTTCCTTCATATTTATCTTACTTTGCAGAAAATTCAACGGTGTTATTTCTTCGTTGCAGATTGATTTTTGGCGTGTGCTGTGTACGACTTGCCGGATTCCCGCTGCTGCCCTTCTTTCGCTGATTTTTACCCCAACACATTGGTAAGTACTAGAACTACGTTTGCCGCGTACGGTTTTTTGTAGAACCTAAAACAGTTACTTTTCCGCTGCTTCAAAGTGCGTTTCCTTGCCATTAGTGTAGTTGTTGGGCCTTTAGGTGGGGAAATGGCGGAAGTAAAACTATAGTTATAGGCTTGAAGTAAGAGGAGAAATGATTATCAGCATGACGTACAATTGGTACGCGACTCTTGCTGTGTTAAGGAAGTTCGTTTTTGAGTAGTTCTAGGTAGGTTTTGCAATACAAATATTGCTAGCTCTCCGCCTGACCATTTCAGCTAAAAATTAATTTTAATTGAGGCTGAATGGAGACTTGCACGTGAACTGACGATGGCACGAACCCTGGGAAACTCGTAAATGGGATTTGGGCTGTAGAGATTTTAAAAACTTTTAACAGTGTCATGATACCCGGGCTCCTTGTCATTCTTTCCGAGAGCAGTTCTCGGTAGATATCTGAATTTAAGAAAATTGAAGAACCTTTAATTGTATTGTTTTTCTAACCAAAGAATGGAAATCTTTGGGTCACCTGGCCCCAATGTTTACAGCGTATAAAGAAACTCTTTCCCTATCACATTTCGTTTGTCTGTTTCCTGTAATATTACTCAGATACGTTCAAGATAAATTATGAGGTTGTTGCCCGTTCTAGGTACAAGAAAGCTAATCTAATTATTTTGAACGATTAGGACGGGTTCTGGGTTGCTTTATTCGCCCAATATCAATGGCGATTCGCTGTTGCGCAGAACTACTTAAAGAATTAACACTCGCGCCAACAAATAATCGCCGCGTACATTCGTTTTTATTTCCGGGAATCACCGTCGCCCGGGGATCCGAGCGATAAAAAGGCTTTACGACCCCTCTTCCGACGCGGAGCGCATTACGAGCGTTTCAAAATTCCACGCCCTATGGGGAAGCTAAAGATAGAGCATTGCTGCTGCTTTTTCTCCAAAGCGCCGCTGCGATTCTTGGCTTTGGCGGCCCGCGCCATGCCGTGCCGCGTCGCGCTTATCGCGCCCACCGAGGTCAGAGCGAAGTCCGCGGGGGCGGTGCTGAAGGCGCCGCTTCCCCGCTCGCTCTCCCTCGCTTGTCCACCTCCGTGCACGACGCGGAGCGAGCGCTGCCCGCTCTCTGGACAGAGACGAACGGAACGAGAACTTGGTCGAATTTGGGTCTACCGACAGGATAACGAGGGGGAGGAACTCTGAGAACGAATTCGAAGTAGCTCGAGCGATCATTTGATAGAAATCATAAAAAGTAACAAAGCGCTATGGCGTTTGGATAGAATGTTAGCTATTGGACATGAGTACACTTCGCTTAGAGAGCTATAAGGGAGAAATATTGACTTTTCAAATAAGATAATAAGCCTTTCTTGGTTAACCATTTTGCGGTAACATGTTTAAAAGTTTGTATTAATGTAAGGCGGAATTTTTGTTCTATGGAGAGCTCTGTTCATTATGGTGGGAAAATAACCCTCGTTAAAAAAGAAAAGTGTTTGCTGATAGTAGAAAAGCCACTTGCTCGTGTGTGAAACAGCTTAGGGCTGCTTTAAAGCGCGCGGGAGAGGCAAAGCATAGCGCGCGCGGCGGTGCCGCCGCCGCCGTCGCCAGAGCCTTCCCGCCCCCTTCGCCGCTGCGCCCTCCCCCCCTCTGGCGGTATGTGTCGCGGCGGTCGCCACCGCCTGCCGCGTTTCGCGCAGCCGAGCGGTGGGCGCGCGCGCGCAGGCGGCGGTGGCGGCGGCGGGCGACGAACAGTTGGGTCCATGGTCGTGCGGGCAGCGGGTGCAGCGGCTCCGTGAGGGCGGTGCGTGCGGCGGGGGCGAGAGCGTGCGGGCGAGCAGCAGACCGGCAGTCAGTCACAGACCGGCCCACGGATGCGTGCGTGCGAGGGACAGCCGAGCTCTTCGGACGCCGGCCACCAGGAGAACGTCGAAGGTATTGCTGTGCGCGCGATTGAGCAGTAACGTTCCCCGTTTGGATTGTTGCCATTGTCCGAGGGTTGGCTCGTGACGACTCTGGAGATGTTCTGTGGCAAATTGAAAATGTAGAAGTTTGTGTAAACGGTAGTGAAGATGGTGACGTGTATGTTCGAGCAGTATGTTTTTTCGCATTATTCGTATCCCTGTCGCCGAGGAAGGTATAATGATAGTTTGTTTTTATTTTTTTATGCAAAAGAACACTTATTCTTATTACGTTGTTGAGTTTCTAATTGTAAACTGTTTTACAATGTAGAAATAGTGTCTTCGCGTTCTTGGAAACGCAGTTTGTAGTTTTTAATCTACAGTAATAGAAAATGCATTAATGGTAGAAAATTAGTTGCATTTTTTGGCCATTTTCAGTTGCGTTATTGGCAAGAAATATGTTGCTATAAGTAATTGCGCATGTGTAGCGCCGTCCCATCCATCCCCCGGCGATCAATACCTAGCATCCGGTGGCGGCAGTGGGGGAGGGAGAGCTGCGGAGGGGAAGCGGACGGGCTCGCGATGGGGTTGAGGTGCGGGCGAGGCGAGGGCGTGTGTAGTGGGCACGGGCGCGCGAGTGGGAGGGTGGGGAGGGGTCGGCAGCGGCGCGGCACGGCGGCCGCCAGTCTGGCGTCGTCTTTTTCATCACGCACTTACCTGACAAGGGGGGCGAGCCAAGCTTCGATCGCGAGCCGCCCCGTTCGCACGACACCGGCTTAGCCAATCCCCGGCCCCTGTGCCACGTCACTGCAGCGCCCTTTCCAAACGTTTCGTGATGTCGCACGGGCGATTACATGCGCTCTCCCCCTCGCTAATTATACCTTCTGGTTCTTGAACGTGCGCCGGGGTGGGGTTTTTGCTGTTGTTTTCAGCCTTTTGTGCCCCTTTTTTGTCTTTGCTGCTCCCGACTATGCAGTTTGCCGCGTAGTGTAAAAGTGGTATGTACTGAGCGGACGCGCCAGTACGAATACATTTCTGCATTCCGTAGTGTAATGCGAAGATATAGTTTTTTGATCTGGACAATTCGTTGCAACTTTTATTCAATGCAGGGTTCGTGTTGTGGGAATATTAAAAGTAATCGATCCAACATTCTATTTAATTTGATGAGGTTTCAAATGTTTGGATTTTGTATAGATACAATGTAATTCGTCACTTTCTTTCTTCAGCTTTTTTTATCTACAGTTAACCAAATTACAAAAAATAGTTGATACCTAGAGGTATTAGTTTTACTGTTTCAATCCTTCTTTTTTTGTCAGGCATGAAGCGTGAAGCAGATGACTGTGACGATTCTTCTTATGTTTTGTCAGGCATGAAGCGTGAAGCAGATAGTGACATGGGCTCCCCTCAGAAGCGGTCCCGGAGTGGGGGTGATACAGAAGTTAGACTGTTGATTCCTAGCAAGGTAAGTACTCTTCCAATCGGATATTCTTCATTGTGTGTCTAGCTAACGTGAAGCTAGATTCGTGAATTATGAACATATGAACTTTTATGGAGTGTTCTAATTCGATTGGATGTTTATACACTAATATGTTAGGTAAATATTGCATATGATAAAACTTATATTTCTCAAAATAATAGTGTTTCAGTAGTCAGTGTAACTCTTGCACAAGCTGAGTCAGTGATGGGAACAAATAAATATCGAACGTATGCTATATGCAATGTTTTTCCCTTGTTTTTCAGGCTGCTGGTTCCATTATTGGGAAAGGAGGCCACAATATTACAAAACTCAGGACAGAGGTGAGTGGAAGAAAAACAATTGAATAGATTTGTGAAAGATTAGTAAAATTCCCTTTTTGTTGTCACTTCTAACAATTTATAGTAAGCATTGTAGAAGGATTTCATTGTTAAAAATAGATGATTAGTTAATGAACATTTTTGCTAGATCTAAAACATGCTCACAGTTGCCAACAATAGTTATAACATTATTTCAGACACAAATTTTGTCTTGTTTATGTTTGTTCCTTTAGTGTTTCAGTCAAGATCCATCTTGTTAAGGATTTACGATAAAGTGTATTCTTGTGATCAACATTTCAGCTAGCTATTAACTTGACAAGACAGTTCTTTAACAAATACAGTAAAATACATGTGCAGCATAATCTTTAGTTAAAGATATGTACTCACTATTTGTTCAACACAGACTTTTTCAGTAACTTTTTTTTAACATGTTTTGCCCCCCATTTACTCCTTCCAACGCCCTCTGAATGGTTCATCGTTGGTCCCTGATTGGTCCTAAATCTGACCAATGGTACGATGGCCCCGCCCTTGCCCACTCTGCTGCTCAACGCTGCCCCGTCGGATTGATTGCCCGCCCTGCCTGTGAATGGGAATAATGCCCCCGTCGAATGGAAATGTGCTCCTCCAAAATGCAGTACAAAGCCTCAATTACTGTCCCTGATTGCCCCGGGCCAGAACGGTAAATCCATCACATATTTTTCTTAGGTTCAGTTCTGTTTCATACTCTATGTGGCTTATCCTGTAAACAAGGTGAAATGTCATTCAAGTGAATAGAGGGCTGGTACTTCTGCCCTTATCCCACAATGTGCACTCAGTAACCAAAATTCTAGTGGGATAAACATTCTAAAAGTTTAAATGCTCTAATCTTTTGTTTATTTTTGTTTAAATAATCAACCATCACTACTTTTGCAGAACACAAGTACTTTAATTTCACTTAAACTGCAAGCTTAAATAAATCTCCTTCATTGAATAGAGCTTTAAATCTTGCTTAGCAGTCATTTTTATTTTATCGTTTATCCTTGATAATGTAAAAAATAAATTATGCCAATTTTTATTTTATTTTAAGAATTAGTATGTATCAATACACAATTAAAAAGGTGCACAACATTTTACATTTTAGAACAAGAATATCCCATGTATTAATGCATTTAATGAAAACTGATATTTTCTTGCTTGTTAATCAAGGACTTGGAGATGGGAAGGAACTGTGTTGGGTTACTAATTAAAGAATTTTTCAAATAAGTTCAATGATTTTTGCTCAACATACACATTTAGTTCAGTAAGTTACCGGAGAAAGCAGATTATTCAAATAAATGGATTGTTTTTCAAATTCTGTTCAGTAAAATTTTCCTATTTATCACACAGACTGGTATATGACTTTGTTTCATTTCTTCATAAGTTTTGAGTTTCTAATGGTCCTTAACAAAGAATGGAAGAGCACAACATAATTATTAAGGAATACAGTGTTCTGTTCTGAAATTAGCAATTTTCTCAGCGATATTTCTTCAAGTGTTATAGATCCACAATACTTTCTGACGGGGATATTAGGATACCACTTGTTTGCGTCATTGTATTTGACATTGATTTTCTATTTCAAAGAAAGTTGTGTGATAAATGGGAATTGCTAGATAAGGCAAGTTATCCTCTAAGCTAGTATCGACCTTGCTGCAGGGAACAGAGGCTTGAAGGTTGCCGAAATAACCCTTGCAAAAATACTACTTGTCCAAACAATATCAAAAATTTGTGTGGCAACAGCTTAATAAAGATGTATGGGTGGAGGGGATTTCAGGATAGATGTTAGTATCCTTTTCTGTGCCTCTTTATTTTCACTTGTCTTTTGTTTTATTTATTTATATTTTTTTGTGTTGCATTTTATCTTAACACTGGCCATGGTATATTAGGTCAGTCCACAAGTTGAGGCCATCTTCATAATAAAAATGTGGCCAAGTAGACAATGTCCATGCATCTCAGTTTTGAAGTTGTCACATCATAAACGAGTGGTTTAGACCTTGGTGTCTGGGATGTGGGCATGTGATGCATCTAATTCTGAGAGGTTTTTAGAGAAATAACAATTCACTTAGTTTATCAGGCAGTTGAAACCTAATGCAGCAGCACTCGGAGATAAGCGTTTGAAAGTTAGGTTTTTAGTAAATTTAGAATTACATATTGGTTGATAATAAATTGCTGTTTCCCTTAGTTTGGACAAAAACAAGTACAAGGGTATTTCAAGTATACACAATCAATTCGCAGGGTCCCTTGCTTCCAGTGTTATTTATGTAAATATAATTTTCCAGTCGAATAAACTGAGAACAGTAATGTACACATTGAGTTTTTATATGCAAGTTTTGCAAAATCATCTAGGTTGGTGCTGGGGAAATTTTGCAGGTTAATATTCCATTTCGTGCTTCAATAGGTTACCCTTAGTGTTATCCTTTTCTCTCTACCCTGCAGTAAAGTAGTTTTTAAGAGTAGATTCAAAAAAGGACATCGAGCTGTAAAGACTTGTAACAAGTTTCCAGTGAAATAATTTCAATTTTAATGTGCATACTTTCATTGCATGTTAATATTTTGCCATGGGTTTACAGCATTCTGACCATTTCTTCGGATTTGGAGACAGTTCTTCAAGTGGTCAACGATATTATACCAAATGTAGAAGATGTGAGTATACAACATGATTACCATTTGTACAATTTTCACTGTTATCTATTATAGTTTTGATTATGCTGTGGTTGGCCATTCTATAGAAAAGCATGACTAACAACAGAATTTGTTAACGTCATAAACCTTGTACTTTAAGAGAATCACTATTTATACTTATGCTCTGCAATTAGCTTATAGAGAATTTGAATCTGATTTAGCATTTGTAGGATTGTACTTTATTTATGTTTGTGCTTTTTAGGCTTCTACACGTACTGGATCACGTAGTGATGATGTGGAACTTAGGCTTCTTGTTCATCAGAGTCAAGCAGGGTGCATCATTGGGAAATCTGGTGTTAAAATACAGAAACTTCGAGAGGTATGACACCTACAAATACTATGAATTAAAATAACTGTCAAAACTTCTTAGTTTAAAAGATTTCCACCAACATTTAAGTCAGATTATTATTATTATTATTATTATTATTATTATTATTATTATTTAATGACAGTTACTGCAAGTCCAGTGTATAATTATTGGAATCAGTTTACCCAAAGGTTGAGTTGTAGAGGATTTTGGAAAGTAATTAAGTAACAAAATATTGAAAAGATGCGAAAAATTTAGATAACTTTCCCGTGAGTGTTCCGGCAGTCTCTCTTACAGTGATGATTTGGCGTTCGCACAGTATTAACGATAAATTTTTAAAATGGGGGGTCCAAACCTCAAACTAATGACGGAGGGCCTTTCGGTAAGGTAATCTAATCGTAAACATGCTGGTTTGTCGTGGAGTAGGACGCTTTCGTGAGGCCTAGTTCCTTGCGGGGTACTGTGTGTCAACGATGCGGTTGCCTAATGAGAAATCGCAATCGTGGAAAGATGTGGAGTGGTTTGCTGGCAGCTCTTTGTGTGGAGCGGGCGGCGAAGTCTCAGCTGCGGCGGTGGAGGCGGCGATCAATAAGCGGGCGCGAGGCACCGGGTGGAACAGCGCGGCGGTGGCGGGATGTTGTGACAGCCCTGGCGAGTGACCTTGGCGTGTGGTGCCGCATGCGTCAGCGGGGAGGCGCAAGGGGCGCACAAAGTATCTATGGCGGCTGGGGAAGGGCCGTGCGTTGCATTGCTTTGTCGTAATGTGTCGTTGCGCGTTTGGCGGCGTTTGGGGAAAGCCACGGCGAGGGAAATACGTGATTTACGTGTCATGTTATTTAATCATGCCGTAGTTGCACAGAAAGGTTGGGATATTGAGTTGTTAAAATAGTATCAAATTAAAATGGGGGAGAGGATTCTTTATGGACATTCATGTATGTAGCATAAAACTGACAGACCTGACAGAAAAAATATAAATTTGATTTACAGAAAACTGGAGCAAGAATAAAAATTTTCTCAAATTGTTGCCCTCAAAGTACTGATAGAGTATGCCAGATTTCTGGAAGACCAAACACATGCATAGAATCCATCAAAGAGATTGTGGAACTCATAAAAACAGTAAGTATTATATGCATAAAGTTTTAAAAAAGAAAATAATGTAAAATTATATGTAATACATTTCTTATTAATTTTCTCTTCTTCTAAATTTGTAGTCTCCTATGAAAGGAATGAACAGTCCATATGATCCCCACAATTATGATGATTACTATGCTCAAGAGTATGGTGGTTATGGTGACCAGGAAAGCAAGGCTCGTGGTGGGCCAATGCGTGGAGGAATGGGGCCTCCTCCCATGGGAGGCAGAGGGGGTGGTAGATTTGGTGGTTTGGGTGGAAATATGGGTCCAGGAGGACCTCCACCACGTGGTGGACCCAGAGGTGGAATGGGGTAAGTAAAATAGTCATTTCTTACTAATTTTTTTAAGAAGAGGGCAATATTAAAGTTCTAATTTTTTTATTTTATTTTTTCTTGTAGGGGTCCTCCTCCTCCACCAGGTGGCATGGGTCCAGGAGCCCCAGGGCCAAGAGGTGTGGGAAACTTTGGAGCAAATCGGGGAGGATTTGGAGGTATGAATTAAAACATTTTAAAATGGCTTATGTTACTATGTGTGGATATGACTTGAGCAAATTTTAGGTGCAGCAAATGGAATGATGAACAGCAATGCTATGAATATGGGAAATAACAATAACGGCGGTCAAAATCCAATGCTGGGTGGGAAAAATACAACACAAGTGACAATCCCCAAAGATGTAAGTTTCTCATTAGTTATTTTATGCATTATTTCATATCTGTATTCTGGTTGTCAGTTGAGTAATGGGACTTGAGTTTGCAGAAAGAACCTGTCAAAATGTCTTAAACAGGTTGTTTCCTAAAAGTGTTAGACATGATCTTCAATCTGTTCTTTATTTTGAAGTTGTGATTCATATATCTAAACAAGTCATCACTAATAGTCTCATTGCACAATTGACCAGTTGCGTAGAATGTGATTTATTATTAGTATGTTCTTTGTAAATGTAACAATTTTGCCTTCCTCAATTTCCTGAGTTTCATGAAAGAATTTAAATATAGTACTGAATTGAATGAAGGTATCATGAGAGATTTCTGCCACAGATCAGAATATTTGGTATGTTTTATCTGCAAGTGTTTCGAAACAGTTTTACTGATAGACAATAAAATATTTAATTATTAGAGCAGTTTGACATTTTCAGTTTCAACCGAACTTTCAAACAATATTAAATTCAGAGAAAAAAGTATTTTTAACTTTTGAAAGAAGATTCAGATTTTTCTTGCAACTTGTTTTGTTATTAGTTGGCTGGTGCCATAATTGGCAAGGGTGGTGCAAGAATTCGCAAGATTCGTTCTGACTCAGGAGCAGGCATAACTATAGATGAGCCTCTGGCAGGCTCGACAGATAGAATTATTACTATTACTGGCACACCAAATCAGATACAAATGGCTCAGTATCTTCTCCAGCAAAGGTAAGTTGTGGTCGATAATCCGTTAAATTTTCCATTTGGTGCAGAATTGAAGATGGTTCCCATTACATTAATTTTTAATGAATTTCTTTTTAGTTATGAAATTTCATTACTTTTAAGTACTTTATGGATTATAAAGTAAGGCCTGTTTTTTGTTTCACAAGCTCAAATTTACAATAGAATTAATTTTAGGCACTGTTGGCCATGATTTCTGGTATAAATTAAGTTAGTCACCAGTCTCATAAGTACTAGTTCTGGGTTGTAAATATTTGCGAATCATTTGAGCAGTCATATTATATTTTGCTTTGCAACTGCTATATAATCTTGCTTACTTTACTTTTGAATTAATTTTAAATAATGTTAAATCTTTAAAAATATTCATTTCATTAAAAGATAGTTAATATGTGATAGTTTTTTAAAATGGGGTTAGAATTACATCTAACACTGCCTATCTTTGCGAGACTGCAATTTTTTTGATGAAATCTTCAAGCACATTCGTAAACATGAGCAGATAACCGATGAACAGACACCACTGCTTGGAAATACCAAGCAAGTCAGCTATAGATCATTCTCTTAGATTGCAGTATGGAGCAAATGGTCACTTTTTATTTTATTTTTATCCTGTGAAGACAAGATTTTCATAGAGAAACAAAATATTTCAATGCATTAGTAATTCACTTGGAAAATAAATTCCTAATTTATTAATTATAATAAGTTAGCACACATGCAACAATAACTATTTAGGCTCTTTGCTTTCCTCAGAACATTCTGCTGATAGAATTCTGCCATAATGAACATTTTGCTGATAGAATCCTTCCACTGTAGTTATCTGCTAAGATTTGCATTTAAAAACTCATTTTTCCAAAACTTAAAATTGTTTGTTTTTGATATCACTGGTTTGGTCTGCCATCTTCATGCTTTCTAGTGCTAAGCTGTTCAATATGAGTTTAAGGGATTACGTATTTCGTGACATGCTTCACGGATCAGAATACTGACATGAAGATGACCTATTCTTTTAGAACGTATCATTGATACCTATTTTACACATTGAAAGTACACCTCTTGGAGGTATAGAATTGTCTTAACAATATTGTATCTTTCAACAATAGCCCTGAGCTGCAAGTATTTAGTATAGACAATCTTGCATTGTAGTTTTTATTATTCCATTTGAGTTCCAACTTCACATACATCGATAGAATAGTGGAGAATATTTATTTTCATTTTTGTTTCATTTATTTCTAATTTATCTCTCTTGCAATTCGCATCATAGTTCATGAATAAACATCAATGTTTTTTATTCAATTTTTTCTCAGAATTCTGTCTATCTTAAATGATATTGATTACATTCTCCATTCACATCAAACTTTGCATTGATCTAATCTAAAATGATATAGAATTTCATTCTATTGTTATATATTGAAGAAATGCCATTAGTAAGAATCTTTTATAAAAAGTAATACCTTTTGTCAACATTGGCATTGTGGTGAATTTCAAAATCTTAATTTAGCTGCAATTAAAACTTACATTCATGCTTTACTTCGAAGAATTTTCTGACAATTATACATTAATCTGATAACTTGACTTAATTTGACTATGAGACTGCCAGTTAATGGTCATGTGGCACAACCAATGTTTTAATCTTGTGATCTTTATCTACATACTGCAATCTATATTACAATGTCTGGATGAAAAATCTTGGAGATGCCATGCAAAAAGTGAAGGTGTGTGCCTGCCAGAGGGTTAATTCCGTGGTTCTTGAAATATTTCTTTTTAATTATATCTTTAGAAAAGTCATCCATCTACTAATTTTTGTTTATAAACATATATTAATGCTTCTGACATTTGATGTCAGTTTTGTGCAACATTCAATTCAGTGTTTTGATGTGTGCCACAAGCCCTTGTAAACAAGCAATTATGAGCCACTGAGCCATCTGAACTGTTGTCATAAAATGCTGCATAGTTTTGAATCTTCATAATATATAGGTAACAAAATTTAAGAGAAAATTTGAACTTCTATAAGCTTACTTCACAACAAATGAAATTGTGAAAGGGGAAAGCTTTCTCTCATTTGTTCTCAGAAGCATGTGTGTAATGTATTTTTTAAGGTATCTAGTTTTTATGCACAAAATATTTCTAAAGATTATTTTTAGAAATGTTATGTATTCATATTTTATGTGAATTTGTACAAAATCTGAAATTTGAATTTAATGTTCATTATGATTTTGTATTAGAAATTGTGTAAAAGAGTAAAAGGGTTTGTCAGCTATGGAACTTCCCTGAAGAACATTTCAGCAGATTCGCCAAGGCTATTGTTGTGTGGAAGACTAGTGATTTTGTTGTTCTTTATCTGAGAAACAAGGAATCACTAATCATCCTACAAACATAGCTGCTTCCAGCACTTACTAGAAGCACCAGAAGAGGCTCATGTAACATGAAATACATGTTCTTGACATCCTATTGGTACTACAGTTTTGTTGTAATAAGCAGATTTTGTGATATTGCTATTGATAAAGTAGGAAATCCTGTTCTGCCAAAATACTTAGGAGTGAATTTCATGAGTTATACATCCCAGAAGAAGGAAATTTGTGCCTCAAAAACGTATTGATGCTGAACTTCATCTTTGTTACAAATGTGAAGTAGAGGGTCTCACATATGACTTTCTATTATATTAATGCTGATGCCTATTCAATATTTCACATCATGATTTTTCTCTTCGTGTACAATGGTAAATCACATCTATTAGAAATTGAACTGAAGTGAATGAACAGTTAATAATAAACCCATTTGTGAGAAATCTTTGTTTGGTTCTGTCAGTGCAGAAACATGTGTAGTAGTGTTGCTAAAGTACAAGATGTTGCTTAACCAAAACTTGAAATCATTTATGATGTACATGAGAGTTGTCGAACTGGCAGCATGAGGTGCTGTTATTTATTGTAGCCTGCGAAACTTTCAATCAAAAATTAAAGTCCCTTGCATTCACGTCAGGAGAGAGGGGGGGGGGAACAAATTGTGAAGGGTGAATAATTTAATTATATTCATAACTTCATTTTCATTGAAATATCATTCATTAATCTCCGAAGTTTTTTTTATTCCTTTAGAGGCATAGATACAAATGTTTTATGCACACAGATAGAAATCTTCATTCACTCATTTGAAGGTTTACAAAAGTAAAAGTTTTAGCTTTTGTTAGTTCTGTTTGTATCAAACTGCTCTAGGACACCAATGTAAGAATGCCGTTGATCCTCAAGATGAATGAAAGTTATGAAAAGTAAGACTTATTAGTTTGTGAAAATGTATTGAAGATGTTTGACATATTTTATGATTTATTGTTGAAATATATTATATTGCAGTGATGAGTGGCATGAGGAATTCTATGAAATTATTTACAATACTCCATACATGAATAATTTCATTATTATTAAATTTACATTCTATATATTCAATGGTTTTTAATTATTTCTATGTATTCTAGTTTTCCTTTTATTTGAGCTTATCATGATATTTTCAGTTGCCAATTTGGAGGAGGTTCTGACAACTACTGATTTTTGAGGCCGATTTTGGAAGCCTGTTAAAGGAAAGGTAAATGTATAAATAAATTTGCCATTTCAATTATTAACATGTCCGTCTTTAAGAACGGTGAAACTACCTTTCCTTTAGCATTTTAGCTCTACTCATTAACTTCTTTATTATATATGGAAATTGTACTTTTGAGAAAAGCTGTTCTGTTGATGGGTTATTTAAAAAATTGTGAACTTTTACATACGAGGCAAGAAGAAAGTTGATTACTGGTTTTCTTATTTTCCGACTTTATTATTCAACTAAGTTTTTCTTTTTTTTCCCCCTCAGTTTTTCTTTCTTTTTTTTTTTTTTATTTAAAGAAAATCATGAATATTAACATTAAAGAAGTATTTTTTCTTGTGAAATACCAAACGGGTGAAGAGGATGAATTTTAATTTCTTTAAATTTGTTTTAGTGTCCACGAAAATACTGAAAAATATTTCTGAAGAAATGTGCCGTAGAATTCACCCCTGGGATGGAGGTCACCTGTTGCAATTCCAGCCTTCACCCTGAGTTTTTATAACAAATATATTAATATAAGGCTCTAAAAAGTAGTATACACATTAGAAATATTTCTCCAAAGGGAGGGTAAGAATTCTTGAGTATTTCCTTTTATGTGCATTGTAGTATGAATTCATTAATTAGTTGTATGTAGAGTATGTTCTATATTGTTTTGTATATCAGTCATAACAATACAACAGTACATTTAGTTTCATTTGTTAGAGTGAGTTTGAATGGATGTGCAATTTCTTCCACATATTTTCACTTGCTGGAAGAACAGAAAGATTTGTGGAATTGTGAAATAACAAAAACTTGTGTACCTGAAGACACTACATTACTCCATACTCAGTTACAGTAAACGATTAGTGTACAATTCTCAGTTTCAATCCAAAATTGCCATACATATATATATAGATTTCTTATTGTGTAAAGAGTGTTTAAAGTAACACTCATAACATTTGTGCATCCCTATACAGCAAGATTTCATCTTACAGTAACATTTTCGTACTGTAAATTTATAATTTTAGCAGTGTTGCTCAAAACTAGAAAGTCCCAGATGTGAAAAGTCTAAAAAATTATGAATTCCTGAATGTGTAAGAAATAGTATTAGAATGAATTGTAGTAGGTATTTCCTTGCACATTCTAACCTTAAAACAGTTTTAATACAAGGGAATCAATTCAGTACAAATGGTTTTGCAAATAACAATGTTTCAATGGAACATTTGATCGACTATACATATTTCAATGCTGGTTTTTACCTTATTGTTTTTGACTTGTGCTTCTTGCAGTCTCTAAACTTCATTACTTAGCCATTTGTAAACTTTCTAGAATAGATGTATTATTTCATTACTAAATTTGATTTTTAGACTTAATCCCTGAGAGTAGCAGTGGATGTGAATGATTTTTGTGCACAGTGTACATGTACTTCGGGACATGAATAAAGAATATTGATGAATTTTGGTTTTCTTCATTAAAATTGAAACCTTATGAACGGCTTGTGTGTGTGTGTGTGTGTGTGTTTATGTATTTTTTATTCCTGATTGATTCTCTCGAAATTCACTTTAGCAGAATAAAATAAGGAATTGAAATATATTTTAGGAAGTAGCTTTCATTGGTTGGTCACTTCCAATCCTATAATATGTAAATACTGATTCACAAAGCATTAAAGGCATTTGCCATTTTTCATATAAAAATCTCGATACTTGGCTGTGCAGGATGAGCCGCGTCTGTCGATCAAGCTGACGTTTCGCAGTATAGCTCTGAAGGATGCCACAACACGATGGCTGAAAGGTCAGCTCTATCAACTGAGACGTGGCTCATCCCAGGTAGCCAAGTATCTAATGACTGTGGTCGCGGCAGCCTACGAACACACATCAAAATCTTTTAATTTAGAAATTGCAATTTGAAGTATGGTTATTGTGTGACTTTTTAGAATAGAATTACACAATTTTTGTTCAAGTGGGAATTGCCTGCATTTGATGGAAATGATATTGTCAAAGCTATTGTGCTTAGTGGAAGCTAGTGTGATCAAACTCCTTTCGTGAATGCTCTGAAATGTATCTTTTGAAATTACCCACCCCAATTTTATTTATAAAGGTGTTCTCTTGTGCTTATCTAGAGAAAATACAAAAAATTTCCATAATATCGTGGGGGATCTTGGGAACAGCTGAACAATTTTGTACTCAAGGTAGTGTTTTGCTCGACATAACTTGGGCTTATTTACTTTCTCATACAAACTTATTTTTATTCCAAACTTAGTGGCACTTTGAACATTATCCTTTTTTAAGAAAGAAAAATGCAAGTTTGCAAGTAGGTTTTGAGTAATTGGAAGGCCCAATTTGTTACTGAAAATGATCAGGAGTATGCAGTAATGCATCTGTTTACAGCTGCGCAAAGCAACAAACTGCAGGACTGTTAATAAACATCTGTATGTAGTAAAACTAGATGTGGAAGGAATAAATTGGGATAGCAAAATGCCAGAAGTTCTCTACAAAAATGTTCATTAATTTATCAAAATATGAACTCCAGTGATAGACAAATGCAATTGACCATTCAATTGAAGATAAAATTTGGAAAGTTGCTTGTCCCACACATAGCTTAGGAAGAATTGAAAATATGCAAGGTTAAGAATGTTTCTCTGGTGCCATCTTGTTGCAGCAAATTGAGATGTATCAACGTTAGCAATAATTGAAAATATTTTTTCATCAATGGTATATTGTTTAATCTTGAATTACGAAGGAGACACTTGAAATTGATCTTCAATACATTCTAGAGTACTATTGCATAGAGCATTGCCAATTAATTTATACTTGAATTATTGTTCATTTTAATACATAACACAAAACCTGTTCATACAAATTATTTTCATTATATTATGTATTTTCACGTTTTGTAAATATGTAGGGGGGGGGGGGCTATTCAAAGTGTTCCTAATTTTTTATGTAATTTATGACTTTTGAGAGGAAGAAATTCAATGTAATCAATAAAATGAACATATTTATGAACCGAACAATACACAATTTGTAGTAGCTTTATACTAATATACTCATGATTGATTAGATTTGTTCCACCATTTAATTGTCTAAAGATAAAAACTAATTTGGCAACAATACTACCCTAACACACACCGGGCTAGAAAAACACATGTAAATTTTCAATGGTGTCCATAATTCTAGAGCATTATAATGTTTGCTAAAGACACTTGAAGTATATCTTAAAGACAATGAGTATTAATAAAAACTGAATTTAATACATACTCATTCAAAGAACAAAACTAATGAAAATGGTAGTTAATGTTATTTATTTTAATAATATTAACCTTTTTCTATATTTGCTTACTGGTGAAATTCCATTTTAAATGGGATTGCATATATCCCACTGATTGGTTTAAGGGGAAAGTGTGCAATTAACAACCATATATCCTGTATTTTTAGATAACCGGATTATTAAATATAATTTAATATTTCAAAAACTGTTTACTATTGTTACAAAATTGTTGATGAATTCAGTTGTTTTCAACAAGTGATTTCCGATTAGAGTGGTATTGCTCAAAAGATTGTAACATTTTTTAACAAAGAATGCTCTTTTTTTTTTCCTAAATCATGTTATTAGGTGGTGCCACAAGCTTATTCGGTAATGTGGATGCAAGAGATGGGTGAGCACAAAACTACCTCAAATTTAGAGATTTTGTGGATTAGGCCAGTATTGCACTGAACCCCTCCAATACATAGTATGTTTGTTTATCGTTACGTATGTGTCGATTTTTGCAATGAAATGTTTTATCTAAGCACTATGCTTTGGAATTGGCTCAAATTCTAGAGTAGTGGTGTTTGTTTAATTGATTCATCTAAAGTGAACGTTTATGTTCAATCCATCTCAATGGAAATGCATTTGGTTTCTTAGAAAATGGTCATTGTTTTAGGCATTCCATATTTGAAAATCCATCAGAAATTCAAGTGAAGTTCGAAAGGTGGTGGTTAATGATGCAAGGTTTCTTGATTATACAGTTTGTTGTTGTTGTTAGGCTTGCGCATTTGTTGTTGTGGACAAAAATGAAAACGGGCTTTTGCAATTATATTTTTTGAAAAGAAATTCCAGAAATTGAATGAAACATAAAACAAAGAATCTCAGTAGAACTGAGAGAACAAAGAGAACTGATGAAGAGAAAAAATTCTGCTTTGAGTGAAAAGAAGAGGAAATTTTTGGCAGAAAAACTTATTTAGGGTCTGGTGCCGAAAACGTGGATAGAACAAGTTGCTAAATTTAGGGGGGGAAATGTCCAACACGTGTCCATGTTTGTCCTTGATACCGAAATATCGATTAACGGCATGTCTGAGAACAACGCTAGCGGCTAAACAGTTCAGCTGAGTTTCTCCAAAATTAATATTCCGCGATTGATCTGGCTAATGTCGCGACTTCTTGAATTTGAAATCGATATTTCATTGTTGAAGAGAGTCTCTGCGTAGATCTCATTTTCGTTAAAAACCATTCTTTTGAAAAGTGCAAAAATTCAAAATTTGTATCGGCGTCTTCCTACAATTATAATATTCAAGATAGAGATTTTTTCGTTATTCAAAGCTGTGACTTAGAGATAGAATTTGAAGGACATGTACAATTTTTCAAAAATTGTTCGCTTAATTTTGTGTGAAAAGTAGACAATTTTTAATTTTGTTTTAACAATTTTCTTTTCTCTGAAACGACTCCATTGTTTTCAATGATTTTTTGTTGTTGGATAGACTGAAGGACTTTATAAAAATTGTGCAGGTCTCATGTTCATTGAAAATGTGCAAGGGGGTGAGAAGTTTTGCTATTGACAGATGGGGGTGAAGAAAAATGTTTGTGAACATCTTGTCTACAAAATCGTAAGTTAGAATTTGTATATTATTTCATATTTCTTTGTTGGTTTTTTGCATTTGAGTTTTTGTTATACGTTTACAAATTCATCTTTTATAATTTATTTAAAACATGTTGAGTTGTCTTTAGTTGAGATAATTGTGAAAACGAATAGATGATTTCGCTTTGCATATGGGAATGAAGAGTGTACGTAAAAACTGAGAAGTTTTGATGAATATAACAGAATTATATTTAGTTTTTAAAATGTGTATCTATTGTCATTTTCTTGCTGGGTGTTTCAAAAATGCTAATTTGCAAAATGTTTCTCATAGGAATGAGTGGTTATTGTTGTGTGTAGCAACGCATTTTTGTAACGCCTCATTGATAACAGAAGGCGATAATGACGGCTGCAGTTAGTTTGCGTTAAAATCATTTTATTTATAGCTAAATTGCACATTGTTGGTACATTTATGTAGAATGTGAGTACACTGAATTCAATGCCAGAAAGCTGTTTTCGTTTAAACTAATATTTGTATTTCGTAAAAAAATGTATTTTTCACGCTTTATTTGTTTAAGAATTTTCCAAATGGTAATTGAAGTGTATGAAGGAAATTGTCATGTTATATTACAAAGCTATTAGCATTATCGCCAGAAAGTACGTGCTGTTGTAGCACTACTAGTTATTACTGATTTCCTATTTAGAAGAACTTGTTTTAATAACAATCAAATCGCTTGAACAAATTGCACACACAAACTACAAGCCTCTCTATAAACAAAATATATCTAAATTTCGTACATTTCATAAATATGTTCTATTTCAGCCTTGAGGGTTTACTCTTAGTTTTCTAATTCCTGACTGGCATAGTTCCATAAAATTATTTTTAAGGATACCATTCACAATGAAACATTTTAATTTTAGGTTGTTAATTCTCTACATTTCTTTGACTCTGCTGCATTTATATAAATCTCATGTGAAATTTCCTATCTTCAGTCAGTTCATCCATTGTATAACATTAATGTAGAAAGTATGGAGTATGCTTTTGTGGTTTCAAGATTCTTCACAAATGATTATTCCATCAGGCAGAGGGTAGTGAATTTGGTTCATGGAAATGTCACTCCTGATGTTTTATGCTTTGGCACTATTACCTTTTTCTTTGTCTTGCTGGTTTCTCAGAATTTTAGCTAATTTAATAAGCCTGCAAATTCATAATCTTGACAAGTGGGTTCTTGTAGTTCTAATGTGTAATTATGTCCAATCCCTCAAACTCCTCAATAAAACCCAGCCATCCTAATAATTAAAATTAATTTCTTTAGTTATTAGTGGTGGCAGCAACTAACTGGTGAACACATATCTTACAACAGTATAAATGCATTATACAATAATTCAGTTTTAGTAAATGATTTTATAATGTGAATCCCAAACTAAATATCATATATTGTGTGTATATACTTAATTTTATTAGAGACTGTTTCATAGGTCACTTTAGGACTCGTTCACTAAAGTACCTTTTAGATTAAAAGTTCATTGGGTATCTGTCCAATGCCCACCCACACCCTAGGTATGGGAATGGGAAATATATTAGGACAACAAGATGGTGCAATGTGTGGTCCATTGTTATGGAATTGCTTA